TTTATAAGCACTTTAAATCTATATTGATGATCACATTGTACAAACTTTTACAATAAGCAGCAATAAAATTCCTTTTTCCTTATATTAAAAGTCATATAAACTACAAACTACTCCTTTCAGATGTATTTTACTCTTGAATAGGTTTTATGAAAATAAAGTTTGTAAATTATCATATAACCATTAGTGGCCCGATCATGTTCAGAAAAGAAATACAACTTAACAACAAAAAAATAATAAAAGTATTGCCTATTCAAAACTTTTTAAAAAGCTTCATAATATGGTAATTTTAATAATTACTTATTTTCAAAGAAAAAAACCTCATAATATTACTAACTTCATCTCTTTACTAAGTTAAAAACATTCCCTACAAAAGTTAACATTTTAAAAGATGAAAACCTATCAAGCAATACAAATAAACAAAAGTTTAAAGTTTTCATGTAATCTAAGGATACCAAATATTTTATGGTCTCACATTCAGTACTACTTTCTAGACTAATGTTAAGAATTAAACCCTACTGACAAATTATTTTTGAAAACGGAATTCTGGTCCTCAATTTGCCTACGATTATGAGAAATCACTTCATTATTAATCCTTATTAAATACATTCCAGTCATTACCTTCATAAAGGCACTTAACTTTTAACAGACTGACTGCTGAAGTAGATACTATAATTTACCAGAAACAAGGTCTTCAATGGCCATTTTAACACAGACACACACATACACTCACATCCCCAATAAACAGAATACAATAAAGCAAAACCAAGTAAACAAAAGTGCTTTGGTTTATCAAAAATTATTGGGAGTGCAACTAACAAAAAAGCAAGAAATCACTGACTTTTTTCTTAATGACCTTTCATCTCAAACATTTGGCTCAATAAAACCACAACTCTAGAAATTAAGTGTTATTAGTCATTTGATGCAATATTTGATACTGCTTTCTATGCATACTGTACTACAGGGTTAGAGAAATTTTTACACATAAATTTCATGTGTTGAGACCCACATACTCTGAAATTAAAGGAGAAATTGCCAGTCACCTCACTGACCACATTTAAGAACCTGGGAGAATAAAGTCTTACAACGCTGTTAGCAATTCAAAATCAAGTGGAAAAAGTAAAAATATCCTAAAACACACTTAGAATGCTTAAAGAAATCTAAGTTACACTCAGACGACACTTTAATTACTTATTTGAATGGGGATTTTTTTTTTTTAGATAAAACTAAAATAGACAACGTGTTTCTATATATCTAGATGCTTGTCATTAATTTACACCTACAGTAGACTGCTTTTGAAACTAGTCACAAATCCATATTAATTACCTTTTACGCAAATAGATCAAATCAGCCTTGGTAAAGTTTTTCAATTAATGCAGACTCCAAGATTTTCAAATATTCCTTTACAAATTTTTAACTTAATAGATAACTATACTACAGTTCTGTATGCTGTAAAGCTACTTCTTCATTAAGAGGTATCTTCATTTCAAAACAAAAACAGGCAAAATTAGCTGCACGCATTTATGTGTACCTAACATAACGCAAAGAAAACCCCTTCAAATATATTCTTAAAAAAAAAAAAACCCTAATTTTTAGCACAACACCTTAGTATCATGTTATCTTTAAGCAAAATGCTTTCTAACATTTACTGAAAAATAATTTATTATGAATGTCTTATTAATACTGACACAATTACGTAATTTTAACTACCTATTAACCACTGCTACAATTTTCATCACTAAGTTTTTTATCTTAATGAAGGCCTTGCCAGAACTAAAATGCTTCAGTCATTTCAGGACAATAATTTAATTGTTCAAACACTTTATACATAGATCTACCATTAACTCTCAACTTCTGTGAAAACTACTTTACATTCTGTGTAAAAAGAACTCTATCCCCATCCTTAATCAAAACTAGTTTGTTTTACCTGAAACTGCAAAGATTAATGGCTTTTGATAACCACTATCTTTTGAAGTACAAAGGCCTAACTCTTAAAACAACCAAAACTATGCACCGTTAAAAATTCTTGGTTTCTGTCTTATTCAACAAGCTGACTCAGTAAATTTAGTTCACTGTATGAAAAATGCTAACATTTTACCAACAATCTGAAGCTAATGAATCCACTCTCAACGGCATTTCTGGCTATTAGCTGACAGTAAAATAAGCAGATACCCATAGGTGTCAGAGAACCTGAAACCTAAATAAGGTAAGCAGCAATTCTGGCATCACAACGATACTTAAATTTCAAGTGATAACTGAAGTTTAATCTCTACAGTCACCATTTGGTACACACAATCCCCCTGGAAACTACAGCTCATTATCATTTGGGATCAAAAACTACTCAATCTCCATTGTATTATATATGACAAGAGCACTGAACATAATATGCTATTGAACTGCAAATCTCATGCCCTATCCTCCATCACCCACCCCACCAGGGGAGAAAAAGGCAAAATGCACGCAGACCTAGTAAGAGTGCCTTACGAGATCTATCCTGACTGTATTGATTTCAAACTACTACAACTTCCAGATGCAGTTCAAAGTTGCAATTAACTTAGTTTAAACATACAAAGCTACTTCTGCCCTCAAATGCGCACCACATAGGCAGACAAGGATTCTGCTTCTAAAGTTATGCAAATCAGTCCACAATTCGTATTTTAAACAAATCTACTAATGCAACCCAGGAAGCTAAAAACAATCACTGCAAGATTCTGATGCAATATGCGTACGTGCAATACTAATTTTCATTTTAATCTGATCTATAACCTTGATCTAGGGCCTAGATTTAATCGAAATGTGCTCAACCTCAAAGCGTCTACTTTTTTGTTCATTTAGTAGACCAGATCCCCGAGCTCTCTAGCCCACTTAACAGTGCACTGTATTCTGTATTAACGGACAATAGCCCCTAGGAAGAGACCATACAGACTAAGAAACCAATCGGTGTCTTGACACTTGCAACCAGGCAAGAGTTCCGTCTAGCCGCACACACCCTCGGCTGAATACATTCAAGAGAGACACAAAATGTATGATATAATCTAGAAATTCGACCAGGATTAAATGTTATAGTCACCCAATCTATGAAAATGATTCGCATCCGTCTACTCCCACGTTCTAAGAGAGTGACAGAAAAGCAGAGAAGGAGCAGCCGCAGAAATGGATACAGGTCAAGTCTAAGTCGAATCCATCCTCTTGATATCTCCTTTTGTTTCTGCTAACGATCTCTTTGATGATGGCTGTCATGTCTGGGAGCCTGTGGCTGAAGAAAAAGGAGGAGAGAGATGGCAGAAGCTGCTGGTGGCGGGGCTTCTTCTGCAGGATGGAAATGGCTCTGGACTTGGCGGTAGCTGATGCCCCTCGTTCTGCTGCCGCTTGGCTCTGGACCGCAGCCGGGTAATGGCTGCTGCGACGGCTGCTGGATGGTTGCAGCGACTGGGCCTGCTTCTCCTCAGTAACCAGAGGCCTGGCAGCGGCGGCAGCGCAATGGGGAGAAGACGAATAATCCTCGGAACGGCCGCCTCCCCCGACGGTCTCCAGAGCCCGGGCCAGTGGGGGTGCGGCGGCGGCGGCGGAGGGGAGGTTTAAAACCGGCCCGGGTCCCTGGATGTGCCGCCGCCGCCGCCGCCGCCGTGTTGGAGGCAGTAGAAGGGGAGAGACCAACTCTCCGGCGTTCCCAGCCCTAGAAATGGTGACAGGCGACTCCGACCCCCTCCTCGGAGCTGCAGCCGCCGCGGCCGCCGCCGCTTCTCCCCCCCGCTCCAGGAGCGGGAGGTGCCGCCGCCGCGCCTCAGCCGGCTCCCTCCCGAGTCCACGGCTTCCACCTTCCCTTTCAGGAAAAACCGAGGAAGAGGCTGCAGGGTTAGAAAAGGCGACGCAGAGGGGGCGAGAAACGCCGCCGCTGTCGCCGCCGCCGGCCGGCCGGCTCCCCGAGGGCACTGCCCCCGAGGCTGCTTACAGGCGCTGAGAGGGGCTCTGGGCCGCGGCCGCTGCCGTCTCTCATCTCCCTCGCCTGAGCCCGGCCTCGCCTTACAGCGGCTCAACTCTCAAACTTCCATCATGGCTGCAGCTTCCGAGAGGAGAGAACTAAGCGCAACCGTGTCGCGACGCCCAAGCGCGTATCCTGCCGCAGTGCACAAAGAGTTCCGCCACATCACCGCGGGCCTGCCCGCCCCCTCCGCCGCCTCGCGGAGAGCCCGGGGGTCACGGAGGCCCGAGGGGAGGCGGGAGGAGGATGAGATTGCGCCGAGGGAGGGCAGGGCAGAGGCTGTAGGGAGGGGGTAGAAGCGGCGGCTCCCGGTGGGAGCACAGAACCCCCAACCTGCGGGCGCTACTGAGCATGCCCAGTGTGACTGCCCGGGTCTCGCTCGGGCTTGTTCCGAGTGCACTTGCCACCGCCGCTTCTGCATCAACACGGGGCGGGGGAGTGCAAAGGCTCCAGCTCTGCCTAGAAACCCAGCAGGAGTTCGGGTAGGCCGCTGCGGAGGGGAAACTGAAGATGAAAGCTTAGTTGGTTACGCTGAGCAGGCTCACTGGCTCGAGCTGAGGTTACCTGTCCCCAGGTAGAAAGGACCCGGTGACCGCGCTGGTCAGTGTACAGGGAAACGTAGGGACCGTCCCTGCAGTGACGAAACCCCTCCCTCTTCCTCCGCCTCCCCCAGCACCGCAAGCGTCTCACTCCTTTTGCACCGCTGTCGGATCACAATCGTTCGCAAGGATTTGCTAGCAGCAGCCCTCGCCTAGCTCCCACTCCTTCACACCCCCACCCCCGGTGTCCTCAAGGTGTCAGTCTTAACACAAAGAACAACCCCCTATTGTGTCTCCTGTGTTTATCTCAACCGGCTCCCTTTCACCGCCCCACCTCCCCCTTCCCGGGCAACTAGGCTCATTTGCTCTAACATAATAAAATCTCCAGCCGAGTGTGCTGAGCCTGAGCGCATCCCCCCTGAATTTTCAGGTCCCAAAAGACAACTGTCTAGGTAGACTGAAAGCAGGTCCCCATAGGTGAGATGCACCCTGCAGCCCCCTTTATTGCCCCTCAAGAGAGCCAACCATCCCTCCCCAAAGGTCGGTTCAACGCAAGGAGCCCCAGCTCCTTTCCTAGTCTACCTCGCCCCGCCCCCTCTCGGCCGCTGTGAAAACCCGGCTGGGTGGACGACCCCAGGCCCTAGTTCTCTACTCAGGGAGCCGGGCCCTGAAAGCGTGGAGGCCAGGGTTACTGGCCGGGTTGAGAAGTAGGAGACTGTAGGAAGCTGCAGCCCTGAGAGTGGGCGGAGCCGAAGAGACCTAGGAGGGTTCAAAAGGAGGTGGAAGGATACAAGCCACCGTCGGAACTACTTTCAGGGGGAGGTCACGTGTGTTCCTAGTTGGGGAACTTTCCAAATTCCCACTCCCCTATGATAGTCTGAGAGGCAAAGGCTGCGTTTCCTTCGGCCAGAGTATTTCCTCCTCTTGCGGTCGGCGGACCCCAGACTCTCCCGGGCTGGGGCGAGAAAACAGGCTCCACCGATCCTCCCGCCGGGGTGCTGTCAGGACTGACGCCTGGGGAGCTGGTTACACAAGCACCCTCATCCAAGCACGTGCCCCCGCCTCCCCGCATTGCTGGACGCCGCCGCGGATTTTTGCAAACCACCGGGCGAGGATTCCCAAGGTGGTACCACTCCTCTCGCTACCCACAGAGCAAGCTAAAGGGCCGGGGCTTGAGAGCTCTTGCTCTGGACGGACAAACACTCACGCGTTCTCAACCGTGGGAGAAGGAGCTGGACTTTTGGGTTCGGGTGCATCCCCCTTGCTGGTGCCCTGCTCTTTAGGCTGAACCTGTCTGGCTACTGCGCGCGGGGTAAAAGGGTATCTCCTGCAACCGGCTAGCACGCCCTGCTTGGTCCGCAGATGTTGCAGCAAACTTCCAGCCGCTACCCCGGAGCAGCTGAGCGCGCCCCGCCTACTGTGTGTAGACTCAGCCAAGTGACTTATCAGGTCGGAAAACCTACTCAATGGCCGGCAGCCCAGAACAAACCTGTCAAGTCGGCTTACAGCCCCTATTGGTTGACCTATCCCCGTGAGAGAGCTGCTTCAGACATACAGAGAACAGTAGCTCATTTTTCCCCAACTCCGATCAGCTGTAAACCAAGTGGTCTCTCTGTTTGGAGATAATAAGCATCGATCAACACCAATCTAGGAATTTCTTCCTTTTTATTCTTTTCCCTGAGAAGTGGCACTCAGGGCAACTATTTTAGTCCAAAAGCATTTGACGAGAATTCTAAATGTGGTGTACCAAGCTGAGGCATTGAATTGTTTTTCAGATTGTGGGAGAATGGGAATCAATTTCCATTGTGTTGCAAGAATTATGAGTACGTGCCTAGGAAAATCTAAAAAGGATTCATTCTGTGAGAAAAAAAGATTGTGTATGTGCTCATCATAGTTGCAAGCAGCCCCTATAGAGTAGAAATCCCAACACACCTAGCTTAAAGCCACGGGTCATTACCAACTTCAGGACTACTAATTAAACCAGGGATATTTACAGTGTTCTTAGAGATCTCTGAGGTTCCATAAAACGTTGCATTTATATACACCATCCTTTTAAGATGGCTCTTCAGGAGGTAGCAACCTTCTAGATACAGTGTTGATAGTGGAAGACAGTTTTGTGCATGGTTCTGATTAACTTAGAGGAGGCAAAGACCGAGGAGCAAAAGGAAACGAAGAGCACCCTGGGAATGAGTAGCAAGAAAGGCTGCTATCTGATTTTCACAGAAGAAAATCCTGTCTACACAGCTTGTTAGTGCCCTTGAGTCAATTTCAATTCATAGGGAGCCCATGTGACAAAGCAGAATTGCCCCATGGGGTTTTCTTGGCTATGATCAGAAACAGATCTCTAGGTCTTCCTCCTGCAAAGCCACAGAGTAGGTTCATTCCACCAACCATTTGGTTAGCAGCCCAACTGCTTAATGGTTTGCGCCAGGGCTCTTTTGTGAGCTAGAGTTCTGTCGTTTGCAAATAACCAAGAGTAAGGCATCCTTCACAGGGAAGAAAGTAGCTCTGGTGGCATAGTGCCTAAGGCATTTGACTGCTAACCTGAAGATTGGCAGTTCACACCCAACAGCCACTCTGTGGAATGAATACTGGGCAATCTACTTCCATAAAGATTTACTGCTTTGGAAACACAAAGAGGGTCACTATGAGTCAGAATGGACTCAATGGCAGTGAGTTTGGGGTTGGTTGGTTTTTTTCTTCCCCCACTGGGAAGAGGTAACTACAGAGAGGAAGTAGGAAGAGACCTGTTACATTGTGGGGAATTGCAGTCAATGTCACAAAACACAATGTGTATGAACTGTGTATGGAAAATGAATTTACTCTGTAAACTTTCACACAAATCACAATAAAAATTTTAAAATAAGTAAATAATGAGTCCTTGATTTCCAGTTCCACTAGATTGCATAGTGTCTTGAGCGGTGCCCAATTATCACCTGCTTCCTGGTGGGGAGAAGAAAACTGAAGATAGAATGGAGAAGGGTAAGATGCCACATTTGGTCCTCAGGCTGCTTAATTGTCCCTGGAGTCCCTGTGACTGACACTGCCCTCCTCCCACACTCCTCTGGAGCCTAACCTATGTGAGAATTAGTCTCATAGCATCTGAGAAGCTCTGAAATCCCCTCCCTTGGAAGAAAATGGGTTCATTCCTGTCCCTTTTGGTGTTAGATGTGAGGAGAGAAGATTTTGTTCAACTCCCCTGGCACAGAGCTGTTCTGGAGCAGAGAGAGTGTACCTCACTAACACTACAGTGTCGGAATATGAGACCAGCCTACAAGCACTTCCATCCTGCTATAGGAAGAAAATGGGGAACTGGGTTTAACTGCTTCTCTGAGTATCAGGTCCCTGTGCTTCTCTGGCAGGTATTAGCCAGTCTGACAGCAACATCAGGTGGTTAGGAGGAGTTGCTGGATAAAAACCTCCTCCTCTTTCCAGTGTTAATTAAGTACAATCCTGAAGAAAATACTGATGTAGCCTTTATTCATTTTGTTGTTTTTGTTGTTGGTTTTCTTCACTTTGTCCTTGTCTCCATGAGATCTCCTTAACAAGGCAGTAGAGCTGAGTCCTATCTAATATACAAAAAGTAATAATAATTCCTTTTCAGTTCAATTGGAAATATCTGCTTGGCTGTACAAATATTACAATACACTGGTTTCCAAGCACTTCAGTTCCTTACCTGCCTGGATTCAGAATGCCCAAGGGAGAAACAGAAGCTTCTAACAAAGGGAGAATTATATAAAGCTTCAGGGAGGCTAACTATATAGAGTAATTAGTGAACATGATAAACCAGCTTTAATTATAGCTTCTAACAGCTGATTCCAAAACTGTATTGTTAATACACACAGAGAATGTCTAAAGAAATTCTTGTCTTATTTTCTTTGGTAAGTGAAAATGACCAGCTACTTTGTGTGCATGATATAAATAGTTGATGTGCTCTTTGTAGGTCCTGCTGCTAAAATGTCTTTGTGTGAATACTCTGATTGGTACAGTGCCTTTCTCATCTCCCACACACTGACCTTTCAAATATAGATCTAAATCAATGGCTTTAATTTTTAAGCAATCTTCTCTATTTTTATCTGTGTAACCACTGTTTTCTAAACAATACAGAATAGAAAATGTAATAATTATAAGTTTGAATTTAAACAACCCATTCTTCCAAGGATCCAGAGGTTTTTCCTTTATCTCATTTACCTTAATAACAAATATTGCTATTCTTTCAAGTAAAGATATTTTTCCCAAGATGTTTATCCAGAATATATGGCTGTGGATAACGCACTATATCCTAGAAGAAAATATTCCGTCTTTGTCTATAAGTTTTTCATGTTCTAAATCTCTCCTGGAGCTATTTCAAAGGGCACTGTGTCTTGTCTCCTTTCACATTTCCACAAAGATGTGCTGCCTGAAATCATCACTCTCAGACAAATAAGGGTTGGACTAGGTTCTTCTGGGGGAACCGCAGAGCAGACCAGGAATTCAGTGTGTCCAAGTGGCATCAGGAAATTGTGACCAGGGAGTAAATCAGAGAATGACAGAAAGGACCTGACATAATAAGACAGATTTGGAAAAGTAAGTACTGAGGCATCTACCAGATACCTCATGGGGCAGCCTGTATTTGTCCAGGTATACGAGGGATACTAAGAAGGAATCAGGGTTAACCACTGCCTGACTCCTATGAGTCTTTGCCATCAGAACATTCTTTTGGACTCTGTGGCATCACTTTCTAAGTGATGTACCTAAAAAGAGCACCTTTTTAAAACAAACAAACAAACAAAAAAAAAAACTGCATGGGGCAAACTCAGTGAAAGTATCTTTTTTTTTTTTTTTTTTTGTACCTTGATGGTACAGGGTCTTATCTCCAGTCATTCATTTAATGATTCAATCAACAAGTGTTTGTGAATCTATTATGGGCCATTACTATACTAAGCTCTGTGGACAGAGCAATGACTATAGCAAATAAGGTTCAGCCTTTATGGAATTTAGTCTGCCTTTTAAACTTGACTTCACCTTTTTGGCTGATGGTGTTGCAAACTTTTCACAGCCTGTGGGATAAAATGAAAACAATGGAAAATACCCTGACATCCATAACTGTTTCTCAATTATCTGTTGCTGCATGACAAATCATCATAAAATTCAGTAGCTTAAAACAGCAACCCTTTATTTGTTCACATTCTGAAATTTCGGAAGGCAGAGTTGGGCACCTCTTCTGTTCTCCATGTCACCTGAGGTTAGCCATGTGATTGCTTTCACTTGGAAGTTTGGCTGAGGCTGTCCAAGATGGCGTACATGTCTGGCACCTCAGATGGGGTAGCTGGAATGGTTGAGGACTTCCCTCTCTTCATGTAGTTGGTCATTATTTAGTTCTGCCCAAGCAGGTGTTCCAAAAGGGTGAAAGTGCAAGTTACAAGACCTCTTAATGTCTAGGTTCAGAAATTCCACAATGTCATTCCATTGGATTGACTAAAGCAAGTTGCTCGGGGAGCCCAGATTCAAGGAAAAGCGAAAGAGACTCTACTTCCAGGTGGAAGGAGTGGCATGCATGTTCTGGGATGGGAGAAATCTGGCAATCATGTTTGGAAACATTTCATCATAAGCCAACTTCTGGTCACAACAAGTTACAGTTCTCCCCCCACACATGCAAAATACACTTACCTTTCCTCAAAATTATTCTGTTTGACATTGGCTATAAGGGCCAGATGTGCCACTCCTTTTCATCTGGACACCTGTTGTTGTAATTGTTAGGTGCCACTGAGTTGGCTCTGACACATAGGGACTGTGTTAGACTGGGTTCTCTCGAGACACAAAACCAGTAAAGCTTATGTAGAGAGAGAGGAAAAAAAAATTATCTTCAGAAAATGGCTCACACACTTACAGAAGCTGGCAAGTCCCAAGTTCTTAGATCAAATGTCAAGCTGGAGGCTTTTCCCGACTCACGCAGCTCCAGGAGCTGAAGAGCTCAAGGTTAGCAGGCAGTACACTGGGTGTTGACTCCAGCGAATGACAAAGCCAAGATCTCCAGGCTGAATGGTGGGTTGCTTGCTCACGGACAGTTGTAGGCAGCACAATCCACAGAAGAATGCTCTTTTCCCAGGATGTCCATAAATATACTGAAAGCAAGCCACACCCCTAGGAAAACTCCCTTTCAATGGATAGCTACTCAGAACATATACGTCTGATACCATCACTGGAACAACCCATATCACAATTGCTTAAACCACACAGAATTGTGGTCCAGCCAAGTTGACACACAGCTCCAACTATTACAGTCCACCCCTTGTCAACTGGGCAGTT